GGGCAGCGGTGCTTTTATTAAAGAGACAGCGAGAAAATGCTGAAGGCTTTTTTCTAATTCAGTATGGAAAGGAATCCTTCTATACACCCTGTAAGTAACTCAACCACCATTTAAAAAACGTGGACACGCTGTTTTCAGTGGCACGTCGAAAGTGAAAGTAAAAAAGAACAGCGCTCGTTGACATCACCGCTTCCTCAAAATAGAAACTTAAAACACCTCTGTTCTCTTTTCTCCCCCTCACAGTCTGAAACAGAGTTAAGATACAGCTAAATCAGACAGTTAAAATAAGTTAAAAGTTGAAAACTTACCTTTGTTGTTATTTGTGCTCTGTCTCACAAATCACCACCCGCTCTCCACCGGGGAGGGAGCTGTAATGGATGCGCGCACGTGAGCCCAGAGCACGGCTGCTGGATCGGCCAGAGCAGGCGCGTATCGGCCGATACCGATACAAAGGAAAAACGTGAATATCGGCCAAAAATATCGGCCGGCCGATGTATCGGTCGACCCCTACAAGACATAGATCAAATTGTCTTTGAGAGGGCTCATAGAATACCCACTAAATTATAACAAAATCTATCGAACAAGCCAGCTGGACCCCACCATACCCTGGTGAGATTCCTTCGCTTCACAGACAGGGAGATAATACGACTGAGAGCTAGACATTGGAAATTTCCACTGGAGGAGGAGCAAAATCGAGTTCTCTCTAGACTTTATGAGGAAGGTACAGGAAAAAAGGAACAAATTATTCGAGGTCAGACGTATCTGCAAGGCAAAGAGACTGAAATACACCATGCAATATCCTACAGTGTTCTGGGTCTCCCTCGGCAAAGAGCGCCTCCAATTTGAAGATGCCACCGCAGCAAAGAGGACCATTGACAAATATCAGCCTCCAGAGATAAGTGAATGAATGAATAGTCCGTGATGATCAGCGGTAATAACTCCTCTATGAGAATCCTAATAAGCTAATCTCCAATGTTAAAAACTCAGTAGCGCTAACTTAATTATTTCATCAAGTTTTAATCGTCCTTATCGTCTACAGCAGAGGGAGTATGCTGTCTCAAGTCAATACAATGAAGAACCACTTATTTTTTCTATACTTGATCGTCTTTATTATCATCAACAGTGGAAGGAGTAAGCCGTATCAAATTAATACAATGAAAAATCAGCGTATGTCAACAGCATCCCCTCAGACGTCTGTCTGTTCACAGAGTTTTATACTATCTCTGTCTGTCCTTCTGGCTGACACTTTTTAATGAAACACAAAGAATTGTGAAACAAAATATTCTTTGTGGCAGGAAGCTATTGAAGCTATGTCATTGGGCAACACTCCTAGTCCCAGCCCTTTTCCACTGGCCCACCTGTTGTGGTTCTGATCTGTGGTTCAGCCGAAGTGTGTCTCCAGGTTCCAACTGCGCAGAACCACAGTTTGTACGCCCTCTCCGGTGGTTCTTCCACGTGAGTAAAGCACGCTAACAATTTTGGCGTCAGCAGAATGCTGCCCGTGGATTGGCTCTTGGGTTGATTGAAAGAGGAAAGGTGTTACTTGTGCAAATGTTGTCCAAGGGAAAGGCAACAAAACTGGCTTTGCTTCAAACTGGCCGCCCACGATTACACAAGCATTTATAAGAAACACAGCAACAATAAATAAATAACAGACAGAACGATAAAACCACAATGGCTTTTTTTTAACAACAGCACAATGGACGTTCGCCCATAATCACGGACACACCGTGAGTTAGTTTTTTCTACATCGACTCGTCGGCCAACACAACACTGGTTTTTGAGTGAAATATTTATATTGCATTTATACCAGGTAAAATAAGTATTGAACACGTCACCATTTTTCTCAGTAAATATATTACTAGAGGTGCTAATGACATGAAATTTTCAACAGATGTTGGTAACAACCCAAGTGATCCATACATACAAAGAAATCAAACCATAAATGTCCAGAAATGAAGTTATTTGTAATAATGTGGAATGGCAC